CTACCCAAAGTAATCTACATATTCAGTGCAATTTCTATCAAAATACCATTAGTATTTTCACACACCTAGAAGAAATAATCTGAAAACTGTATGGAACCACAAAAGATCCCAAATAGCCAAATCAATCTTGTGAAGAACAAAGCTAAAAATACCACAACCTCAGATTCAAACTACACTACAAAGTAATCAGAACAGTATGTTTCTGGCACAAAAACAGACACATAGATCAACAGAGAAGAAGAGAGAACCCAGAAATCAGCTCACACTTAAATGGTCAATTCATCTATGACAAAGGAGGCAAGAATATACAATGGGGAAAGAACAGTCTCTTCAATAAATGGTGTTGGGAAAACTGGACAGCAACATGCAAAAGAATGAAACTGGATCATTTTCTTATACCATACAGAAAAAATAAGATGGATTAAAGACCTAAATGTAAGATCTGGGACCATAAAACTCCTAAAAGAAAATATAGGCAGCGAACTCATGGACATCAGTCTTAGAAACATTTTTTGGATCAGTCTCTTCAGGCAAGAGAAACAAAAGCAAAAATAAACTTTTGGACTATGTCAAACTGAAAATCTTTTGCACAGTGAAGGCAACAGTGCACAAAATGAAAAGTCGACCTACTGACTGGGGAAGCTACTTGCAAATGATATGTCCAATATGGAGTTAAAGAACTCACTCAACTCAACACCAAAAAACCCCAAAGAATCTAATTTAAAAATGGGCAGAAGACCTGAATAGACATCTTCCCAAAGAATGGACATACAGAGACATGAAAAGATTCTCAACATTACTAATCAGGGAAATGCAAATCAAAACCACAATGAGAGATCACCTCACACCACTCAGAACTGCTACTATCAAAAGGACAAGAACTAACAAGTGTTGGCAAAGATGGGGAGAAAAGGAAACCCTCCTGCACTGTTGGTGTGTAATCACTGTTGGTGAAGCCACTATGGAAAGCAGTATGCAGGTTCCTTAAAAATTTTAAAATAGAAATGCTATATAATCAAGTAATTCCACTACTGGAATTTACTCAAAGAAATGGAAAACCCTAATTTGAAAAGAGATATGCACCCTTATGCTCATTGTAGCATTTTTCACAATAGCCAAGTTATGGAAGCAACGTAAGCATCCACTGAGAGATGAATGGATGAAGAATTTGTGGTATACATGCACATAATGGAATATTATGCAGCAATAAAAAATGAAATCTTGCCATTTGCAACAACATGGATGGACCTACAGGGTAGTATGCTAAGTGAAATAAATCAGAGAAAGACAAATACTGCATGATTTCACTTATACATGGAATCTTAAAAACAAATAAATAAACAAATAAAAAAAAACAGAAGGAGACTAAAAAATACAGAGAATAATCTGGTACTTGCCAGAGTTGAGGGCATGGGGGTGGGGATGAGCAAGACAGATGAAAGGGATTAAGAGGGGGGTGTCTAGGTAGCTTGGTTGGTTAAGTGTACCAACTCTTGGTTTCGGTTCAGGTCATGATCTCAGGATTGTGGGATCAAGCCCCGTGTCAGGCTCCATGCTCAGCACAGTCTTAAAATTCTCTTCCTCTCCCTCTCCTTCTCTGCCCCTCCCCACTCACATACACGTGCTCTCTCTCTAATAAACACATCTTTTAAAAAGGGGGATTAAGAGGTACAAACTTGTTCTAAAGAAGTCATGGGAATGAAAAGTACAGCATTAGGAAATATAGTCAATAGTGTTATAACTTTGTATGGTGACAGATGATAACTTCCTTTGGTGAGCATCTCATAATGCAGATTGCTGAATCATTATGTTGTACACCTGAAACTAACATAATATTGTAGGTCAACTATACTTCCATTAAAAAAAAAATGATGGAGGTCTCACATGGCCTGATTTCAAAACATATTACAATGCTACAGTAATTGAAACAGTGTGGTACTGACATAAAGACATACATATAGAAAAAAAAAAAAAAAAAGACAGACATATGGAGCACTGGAATAGAACAGAAAGCCCAGAAATGAACCTTCATGCAAATAGCCAAATGATGGACAAGGGTGCCAGGAATGTTCAATGAGGAAGTAATTGCACTTCAACAAATGATGCTGGGAAAACTAGATATCCACATGCAAAAGAATGAAGTTAGACTCTTGCCTTATATCATATACAAAAATAAACTAAAATGGATTAAGGACCTAAATGTAGGAACTGAAACTATAAAATTCCTAGGAGGAAACACAGGAAAAGCCTCAAGACATTGGATTTGTCAATGCTTTATTGGATATAGCACCAAAAGCAAAGGTTAAAAAAAAAAAATAGACAGACAGAATGACATCAAACTCCAAAACTTCTGTGCATCCGTGGGGGGCTGGCTAGCTCAGTCGGTAGAACATGCAACTCTTGATTTCTGGGTGGTGAGTTCGAGCCCCATGTTGGGCATAGAGATTACTTAAAAAAAAAAAAAAAGCCTTCTGTGCATGGAAGGACGCAATCAACAGAATGAAAAGGCAACCTATGGAATGGGAGGAAATATTTGCAAATTACATACCTACCTGATAAGGGGTTAATTCCCTGAATATATAAAGAACTCCTTCAACTCAACAATAAAAAACTCAGACCAAACTGAGAAATGGGCAAAGGACTTGAGTGGACATTAATCCAGGGATGACACACAAACAGTCAACAAACATATGAAAAGATATTCAGCATCACTAATTGTTAGAGAAATGTAAATCAAAACCTCAATGAAATACCACTTTACGCCTCTTATGATGAGTACTATAAAAAACATAAATAACAGGTGTTGGCAAAGATGTGAAAAAATTCAAATCTTTGTGCACTGCTGGTGGTAATTAAGACAGTGCAGTCTCCATGGGAAACAGTATAGATATTCCCCCCCCCAAATTAAAAATAGAACCACTATATGATCCACTAGTTCCACTTCCGGATGTATACCCAAAAGAATTCAAAGCAGGATCTCAAAGAATTTTACATGCCATGTTCAAGGCAGCATGATTCACAATAACCATGAGGCAGAAGCAACCCAAACACCCATTGATCGATGAATAGATAAACAAAATATGAGATGTACATACAAGGAAATATTATTCAGCTTTAAAAAGGAAGAACATCCGGTCTCATGCTTCAACACGGACAGACTTGGAGGACACTACACTAAGTGAAATAAGCTAGTACAGAGAGACAAATTCCACTTACAGGAGGTATCTGAACTAATCAAATTCATAGAATTAAAGTAGAATGGTGGTTGCTAGGAGCTCGGGTGGGGGGAGAGGATATGGGGATTTTTTTTTTTTTAAACAGATATAGAGTTTTAGTTTTGCAAGATGAAAAAATTCTAGAGTTCTATTGCAGAGCAATGTGACTATACCTAACACAGCTGAACTGTACACTTGAAAATAGTATGGTCAATTTTATGTTATGTGTTCTTTAACCCTTTTTTAAAAAGGCAGGGGTGCCTGGTTGGCTCAGTCAGTATAACATACAACTCCTGATCCTGGGGTTGTGAGTTCAAGCCGCATGTTCAATGTAGAGATCACTTAAAAAATAAAATCTTTAAAGGTGGGGGAGGCAGATAGCTGACTCCAAGAGGTCCAGCTTGCATATGAGTCTGAAGGTGAGGAGTTTATATGTTGAGTTATATAGTGGTATTCCACCATGAGTTATTAGATTAGTTATAAATACTGAGGGGGCCATGTTAGCAAGGGAAATAGTTTAATCTTTTTCATTGAAAGTAGAATATATAATCTGATATAGATAAAAAATTTAAAAAAAAATTTTAAAGACTTAGATCCTTAAATGGTTTTGAGAGATGAGCCCATCACACTCTACAATAAGGCATGGCCCCATGGGATTGTGCTGAGCCCTTGTCAGAGACAAGCCCCAGATTAGAAGGGCCCTAGGAAAGTTTATTTCTTCCTGGAAATTTAGGTATTTTCTAATGGCCTTTGAAAGCCATTCCGGGCTTCGATCTGGGGTATCTGCTTTCTTCCCATTAGTTTTGGCATTTTGTAAGGTGAGGAGCCATTAATAATAGCTTTTCTCCAAGCAGAGTAGTACATCTCCTTTTATTTCCAAATCCTCACTTGGCTAATATAGGATAATGGCCATCTCAGTTTCTTTGGCTTTTGTCATTCATTCAAAGGCCAAACTTACCCTGCAAAGAATGGCAGACTAATAAACTAATTACCATCCTAATGTTATCATTTATTGGGTACCTCTAACCACATCAGACACTGTACTAGGCAATTTGCCCATTTAATGTTTTTTTTCCAAACTGAACTATAATCAAGTATTCTTATTTTACAGTTGAAGCTAAAGAAATTAAGCTGCTTGTCCAAGGCCAAAGCAGGAGATAGCTAGGATTCAAACTGAGCTCTGCCATATGCCTGAGCCTAGTCCCTTTTATAGGACATTACATCACCTCTTAGTCCCAGAAATTTACAATTAGGACTGTCTGGTCTAGTCATTTTATTTCAAGTGAGAAGAAAGAGCTAAAATACTCCCTTTTCCATCTATTTTACTTATTTACTTATTTATTTATTGCCCAAAGAAGTCTTTTCTAAATGTTCTGGCTTACTCTTGCTCTTAATTGGAGAACCAGAAAAATACTAGTCATAACCAGAAAGTTATTCTTAGAGGATACAAGAATTAGTACGGATGTTTATGTAGGAATGTGTTCCTCATAGCATTGACCACCATTCCTCCTATATACAAAAATCTAATTTCATCACACAGCTCACTTAACTACAGAACAGATAAACACTTCAAGAATTGTTCAGTCGGGATTTTAAGATTAGAACTGAAGTACTGACTAGAGAACAGAAGAAAAAGTCATTTACTTAGAAAACCCATGGATATATTTTCATCTTACATTTCTCATAGCAGAAAGTACATTTATATTCATTTTTCCATAATACCTAATGAGAAAAAAAATTGCTTCTTTCTTCTAAAAACCTTAGACTACTCCCTAATCAGTATCTGAAAAACTTTCAGTATTTGTCAATACCAAGAAACAAATGTTTGTGCTTGTTACCACTGCTTAAGAATGAAGGAGACCTGACTTCCTGTTTCTGTGAAGCTGCGTCATGTTAGAAAGAAGGAATAGACAGGGGTTCCAGGAAGGTGTGATGACTCTGAATTCGGTTTAGAAGCTGCTGTGCCACAGGTTTGAATTCTGTTTCCCACTGGAGTTTGTGATAGTTTTTTAGGTCTTGGTCAAAACTGCCGTCCAGTGCTAGTTCTTCATCTGTATCAGAAAAATTAAAATTACGGCGATTATTTGAAAGTGTCACCCTACTGGGGAAAGTTTAATTTTTGTTGGCCTATGTTAAACTCATCCTGGGTCATCTCTGATTCCAAGACGACACAGATATGATTTGGGGGGTTAAAATGGTTTTGTTTTGTTTTAAAGATTTTATTTATTCATTTGACACAGAGAGAGAGAGAGAGAGAGAGAGAGTACAAGCAGGGAGAGCAGCAGGCAGAAGGAGAGGGAGAGGCGGGCTCTTTGGTGAGCCAGGAGCTGGATGCGGGACTCGATCCCAGAATCCTGGGATCATAACTTGAGCAGAAGGCAGCCACTTAACAAACTGAGCCACCCGGGCGTCCCTCCCGCCCCCAAAAATTTTTTTTAAAAGAAGGAGTTCTTTACTCTCTTTGGCACTTTGAACTATACTTATTTTAAAATATTCGTAATCTCTTAATAAAAAGGACAATAATCCTCTCAAAAGAAAAAAAGCCTAGATTGAATTGAGCTCTTATTTTGACTAATCCCTAAGTGTTTTGATGTAAGGGCATATCCAAAAGTCAGATCACAATTTCTCAGAAGAGGCAAAATATTAATAGTTCCTTCTTTATCCGGGCATTAGAAAAGTTAATTACTTTAGCGATCCACAGATATAAAAGGAGTCAGGAAATCTTTTGGGAAAGTAGCACAGTTGAATTTGATGCTGTAAACTTGACTTGAAAATCAAGGTTGCGGCTTCGAAGTAGCCCCAGTGTGTTGTACTGAAAGGGAATCCCCCATGCCCTTGCCAGTAACGGCGAAGAGTAGGAGACTTTGAGAATCCCAGGGAGTATTAGAATCCCAAGTCACTCTATGTATAATGCAAAAAGCATTAGTTAAAAAAAAAAAAAAAGCAAAATTACAACCTTAATTTGCTTCTTAGTCCAAGGGCACCCTGAGTTCTGCCAACGCCGTAAGTATATCCAACCCAAATAGGAAGATAAGTGGCCACAAAGGTTTCCGTGCCAACTGGCCACAACATGTTTACTTGTTTTTATTCGGCTTCACACCCCAAGGGAAGGATTTTAGGAAAATGCCCGGGCCTGCAGGTCAGAAGATTGGTGCTTCTACTTCCGAGGTCTGTGGCCGCAGCCGACTTTGCGAGTGAGAACCACTAAGCCTGAAAGTGACCACAATCAGTGCTTCTTACATAACCAGCAGACTTTTTTCCCACGGGGCCAATGAAAATCCATTATAAAATGCTTCATTACTGTTGACATCAAATTTCTGCACTGGATGTTTTCCTTGACCCCGTGTACTGTGGCGTGGTTGGTGTTAGCATCGGCCCTCAGAGTAAGATAAGGGGACCTGAATCCCCATTTGTCCCCTCCCCTCCTGTCCTCTGAACAAGAGGCCAGCTCTGCAGCACTGAGATAAGTTCTGCACAGACATAAACAGTCCCACAAGGTGCTCCACAGAGGCCCGGATCTCCCCAGCCACACGCCAACCAGGGCCCGGAGAAGAGAAAGAAACCGGAGTTTGATGCCTTCGAAGCCCTTCCCACCGGGCTCCTTCCAGCCAAGAGGAGCCTGAGAGACATGGCAGTTTTGGACTTCTAGAACATCTCCTGGCTCGCTCTTTTCCAGGCTTTCTGAGCAGACTGCTATTAGACCATGAAATCTCTTATTCAAGAGGCTCAGGGCCAGCGGCTGCCCAAGCACCGGGCAGTTCCCTTCTCTGCTGGGGCTTTGGTTAGGGTTAGTAGGTTTAGTAAACCTCGATTTGGGTGTTTTGGGGCTTTTTTCCATCTTAGGTCAAGACTGTTATTTTTCTTGAGGTTTGGCCTCGGATTAGTTAATCCACATTCAAACCCTATTAATTTGTAAAATGAGTTAAAACAAGATAACAAAAGGGGCCAAAGAGCTACGGGTAAGAGGAAGGCAGTCTGCAGTTTGAAAGGAAATACAGCAAATACCTAAAAAAAAGTGCCCTATGACAGAACGCCTGGGTGGCTCAGTTGATGAGGCAGCTATCTTTGGCTCAGGTCATGGTCCTGGAGTCCCGAGATCGAGTCCCGCATCGGGCTCCCTGCTCAGCAGGGAGTCTGCTTCTCCCTCTGACCTTCCCCCTCTCATGCTCTCACTCTCGAATAAATAAATAAATCTTTTTAAAAAAACCCCAAAAAACAAAAACAAAACAAAACAAAAAAACAGTGCCCTATGATGCTTGCTATTAAATTTTGGAACTTTACCCCCAAGAATGGCAGAGATGAATTCAAGAACAGTTGAGATCTGTGATTCTCAAACTCTGGCCTGGGACCTAAAAAGTACACAGGTCATGACTGTACGTGGTGACTTACCAACTTATGTACAAATAACAACAGTTTCACCGTAAAATACTTTGCTTTGCTACATGGGATAGATTCTGGTATTTTCTTTCTTTGCGACTTCATTTTTTAAAGATGCTGGACACAATGTGAAGAGCACGGGTTTAGATAACCAATCATTCTTAAGCTTTCTTCGTGTACCGCATACTTCTAATACTAGGATTTGAGTCAAGGTGTTTGAAAGGTTTACAAAGGGGTAAGGAAGTCAAAACAATAAGTTTCTCAGTGATCGTTATAGCACAGTCCCAATTATCGCTTACGTATCCTGCACCACCAATAAAAGCTTCTCCTACTCACTGCACGATCTTCCAGCTGGGGCTCAGCACAAGGTAGCTACTGAGGGTTAATTATTGCCCTATTATAAGGCATAGCCCTCATGGTGCATGCTGTTTGGCGTGGGCTTGTTAATGTGATCCTTTTTTTCTTTTTTCTTGTATTTTTAGAAATTTATTTTTTTAAGTATTCTCTATACCCAGTGTGGGGCTCAAACTCACAACCACAAGATCAAGAGTTGGATGCTCCACTCGACTGAGCCAGCCAGGAGCCCCTTTAAGGTGATCCTTCAACTTGAACACTGGGCCCCACTCTACCTCTTGTCCTGTAATCCAGGTGCTAAGTGGTATATACCTCATAATGAACAAAATGCAACCTGTGTCCTTTACATTCACAATAAACCGCACCCCCCCACACACACACACATGACCAGCTCCGAGGAAAACAACCCGGGGTAGACCAGCACGCCAGGGTACGTCACTTAAGAACTTCAAGATAAAGACACTACTGATGAGTTCGTAAGAAGTGGCCGCAATCCATCAGAAAGTTTTAGACAACATACTTTTTAAGCCACTTTCCAAAAACAACATCAACATCCCCGTGCCCCAACCGTGCTGAGGACCATCAGTTTCTCCTTTTTCCCCCCTCAGTCACCCATCAAGAAAAAGCTGATGACTTACATTTCTATATTGATTATCTTGTCATCATTTCTAAAAACAGTGCTCACACTTTGGCATGGGGCTCAGTGATGTAACGGTTTGTCCTGTTTTCAAAATGGCCGGCTTTTCAGCCATCTTTGGGAAGGAACTGAAACTCAAGCCTACTCTCACCCCCCATCTGCAGGACTTGCTGCTGCCCAGCTGGTCAGACACAGCTACAGCCTTGTCGGAAGTGAGGGTCTGTTGGGGGAGAAAGCAGGAAGGAGCCCAGTCCTTAGGCTTTATAAGGAGGGCCTGGCGATCTGGTGAGGATTCTATGACACGTGGTGCCGGTTACTCCGATCCCTGATCAACTGGCTTTATTTCTGTTATCCAGCCACAGTCCCCTCCCAGGGGCTGGCAGGAGGGGGGGGTGGCTGGCAGTAGGGGATTTAGAAAGTTAGCTAGTCCACAGACATCTATCAAGGACCTCTTTCGTAGGAGGTAATATCCTTTCCCCAAAGTTGCTCAAATGGATCGGGGAAACAAGATAAAAGTTACAAAATAATAATACAGGAGAAGTTACACGGTTCATATTGCTATTGAAGAAGTACAGATTTCCTAGGACCAGGCCATGGGCTTGAAAAGGGATTCGGGAAGGGTCAGTCTGGACAGACAGCACATGGTTAAGCAGGTAAGGGTTACGGCACCCGCAAAGGCTCAGAGGCTGGGGAAGCACAAGGAGAGGCCCAACCCGGTTCTAAGGGAAGGTTGAGGGAGGGGGGAGCAGACACTAGGCCTACTAGAAAGAAGCGCCTGCCAGGTTCTGTACCTGCTGAGGAGCTGGTCATGCCCATACCTCTTCAAAGGGGCCTTTGTGTCCCATGGCCTAGCGATTTTGCTATTTATAGTCAACAGCCCCGACCTAAGTGCCAAACCAAGCCAGAGATAGTCTCTGATAGAGGCGGCTAAACCCGGAAGGGCCTAAACCCAAGGGAATGATGCACAGAACCAATCACACCTCTTCCCAGAAATGGGAGACAAAGAGTGAGCCAAGAGCAGAGGAGACTCACGCTGACGGTAGCAAGCAGCAGCCTTGACCTAGTTGAAGCCAGGACCAAGTGGGAGCCTACAGGAACTTTTGCATAACAGCAGAAACAGAGCAGAGTGGCATCTCCAGCTTGGTGGAGAAATGTTGGCCTGCTACTGAAGGGGTCAGTCAGGGACTCTGGCTTCATCCAGAACATCCTTCCAGTGCCTCTCCAGCAGGCTTTGGGCAAGGTGCACCCTTCCCTGAAAGTCCTTCATTAACCAGGGTAAGGGTTCTCAAGCTTGGCCTCGGAGCAAATTCACCTGTGGAACTTTGCAAAAAATGCAGATAACAAGCCTCACCCCAGAGTTCCTAAGTCAGAATTTCTGGGGATGGGGTCAGGACAAGTGTGTGTTTTTTAAATTCCACATTTGATTCCAATGTTCTACCACACTTGAGAACCGAATTAAGGCAAGTTGAGCACAGCCCTCTGCTCCTGGCAACCTGGGAAAGCCCCACGTTCACAGAGCACCCTGTGAACCTCAATCATTTAAAGCCATGCTCATTTTTTTCTTACTCCTACACATGCAAGATTATTTTTACCGCAAAAAAGCAAATTTCACATCAGCTCAGCCGTCCCCAGTCTTTCAGGTAACCTCTGGTTCTGAGTTCCTGTTTAGTAACTTTGTTACAACACTTGGAATTTATAAACCCTTGAGTCCAACTGTACCAGGCTCTCTGCACACGTCTCCTCTCACCATTCTAATAACTCTGCAAAGTGTCCATCAATTGTCCCTAGCTTAGCGATGAGAAAAGATACATGTAGGGAGGTTAAGCCCAACACCAACAACTTAGAAGGGCCAAAAGCAAGGTTTTAAACTCAGAACTGTCCAGCTGTGGTCGTCTGGTCTTTTCATGATGCGCACAGAGGCCTAATTGAGGCTCGCTATTGGCTGGAGGGCGGCAGGGATTACTGTGTCCCCATAGTTGAGATGAAAAGACAGGTCCTGAAATTCTCTTGTCAAATCACACCATAAGAGAGCACGAGGATTTGAATCCATGACTGCTAAGTCACACTGAGCCTTTCCACGTGGCCTTGCTGATCCCACACAGTGGCTGGGCAGTGGTGGGGACATTGCCTCCGTTTGGGGGAAACGATTATTGAAAATGCTCATTTACTTACTCAAATCATTGTTTTTAGACATAACCCAGGATGAAAAAAAATCTCCTAAAGAACTTTTTTTTTTTTTAAGTTAAGAAACTATCCTCTTTCGTTTAGTTTGTATCAGGGATTTCTTGCCTTTCAGTGGTCTGAACCCCACTGCAATGTCAAAATAGTTTCACAGATGCTCCTCCACATTATAATTAATATAGTTGCTAATTAAAATATATGGATCCTGAGGCACCTGAGTGGTTCAGTCGATTAAGCTTCAGACTCTTGGTTTCAGCTCAGGTCATGATCTCAGGGTCTTGAGATCAAGCCCTTTTTGAGGGCTCCCTGCTTAGCGGGGAGTCTACTTAAGATTCTCTTTCTCCCTCTCCCTCTGTCCCTCCTGACCCCCAGTGCTCACTCTCTCACACACTCTCTCTCAAAATAAATAAATAAGTGTTTAAAAATAAATAAAATGCATAGGTACATTAAAATCATGACAATTCAGAGTAGCTTTTAGCCTTATTTTCTCAATTAAAACATCTATATATTTTTAAGCAACAGCAATACTTTAGGCTGAAATCTTGGATTTAGGCAGTCTATAAAAAATACGCAGTCTATAAAAAATGCAAAAAAAAAAAAAAAAAGGGAAAATGCTGCAGAAATCATGACAGTGTCCAAGGAGTTAAAAGTCCTTGTGTCCCCACTGTAAATAACACTCAGCCTCTTCCAGATATCTCCAAATTTACACAGCTACTCAAACACATACCAATCTTTATTCATACAGGTCACAGAAAAAAAAAATTCTTACTCTGATAAAACTCACAGACTCACAGTCTTACCTAAAAATGATGGCAGCAGGACTAAGAGCGTGTTGGTGTCCTCATCTCCAAAACACGATGAAGCATTGGTGATATTTTCACTGAAGTTCCATAAAGTTTTGCAAACCAAGCAGGCCAGCTGCCAATCGGTGGGACCAAAATGTCTTAAACAATTCACCAACCTGAGTTTAAGAAAAGTCAAATTGAGAAGTCATTAGGTCAGAATCTCTTTTATATTTTCAGCATAACGACGATACTCATTCTGTATTATTTAATATGTATATGTAATTCAGTGATTAGTTTTAAAAATTCCACATCTACAAATTTAAGCAGCTACAAAGTAGCAACAACCAACTTCTGAATTATTTTAAGGGTCCAGGGGAACCTAAATTCCCTCTTAGGTAGTAGCTTGGCAGTTCCAAACGTTGAAAGACCTCCACGCCAAGAGAAGCACAAGAGGGGCCCAAGCTCCCTGGGGAAACTGTGAGAGAGTCAGGACTCCATGCCTTGAAACTTACTTTTTAATGCCACCTCCTTCTTTTAGGATGGCACGCTTTTCTTTATCCACAGTGAGATTTAGGAGAACGCCACAGGCAGAAAAGCAAATATCCTGATGCTTGGCATCCAGCAGGGCAATCATGAACTTGTGAACTGGGAGGGCAGAGAACAAATGCGGACCAATAAAGTTTAGGGTTCCCAGCGGTGCCTTATTTTGGAAAGAGGAAAAGGGGAAGATGGGGAGTGGCTCACAAAACTGGAAACTCTGCTAGGGGATTTAATCCATTCTTCCTAAAGCTTTCTCGCCATGCCCAGCTGCAGGTTCACCAACACCCACTGCATCTAGAACTTGTTCCCCAACCCCCAAGTCCTTGGTGCCCACGTAGTTCTGTCTCTGACCTAGACAGCAGCTCCCTCTCCAGGGCAGTGATACTGTCCCTTCTGGTAGAAAAGGGGGAAAAAAAAATCTTGGGTCCAACCACACAGGTGACATTCATCTCTAACACCTGATTCTTCTCAAGAGCACTTTTGAATGGTCACCAGCAATTTTCTTGAAGTACACAACCTCAGGGGAGGAGGGGGGGGCGCTCCCGTTGAGATCCTCTCTAAAGTCTTCCAGGGTTTGTAAGAGAACATTTGGTCGGGGGCTGGAAACCAGCCTGTAGCAAAGCAGGACTGCCAGGGTGGGGGGCCGCTCAGATCAAGACAGGCCCCCTAACTTCGGGAACCACTTTCCTTTACTTCCAGGAAATGGAACTCCTCATCCTGTTGTCTTAACAGCCCCCGCAGGGGTCGGGCAAAGGGTTGGGCAAGGTTGGATAAAGTGTGTGTTCTGCTGCCTCCTGTTTGCCCCCACACCTGACAGGTGGCCATCCTGCTCTGACTTTGGTCCCAGGGATCGTCAGACACATCTATGCCTGTGTTTAAGAGTCTGAAGAATGGGGGCGCCTGGGTGGCTCAGCTGGTGAAGCGTCTGCCTTCGGCTCAGGTCATAATCCTCAGAGTCCCAGCCTTTGGCTCAGGTCATGATTGGGGGGTGGGGGTGTCCAGGAACCAAGCCCCTCTTAGACCTCCCTGCTCAGTGGGGAGTTCTGCTTCTCTCTATCCCTCTGTCCCTCCCCCAACTCGAGCACATGCGAGCTCTTGCCTCTCTCTCTCTCTTGCTCTCTCTCAAATAAATAATCTTTAAAAAAAAAGTCTAAATAATGTACATCAAAACATTAACAGTTTATACTCTCTGGGGGAGTGAGATGATGGGTGACAGTTTACTGCTGCTGCTTTTTCTCCCCCCTAATATCTGTGTTATCTAAATTTGCTATAGTGGATAATTGGGAATTTTTAGTTATTATTCATACATGAAATATTTGAGACATACAGAGGATGGTTATCTTGGATACCTGCCACTCAGTTTAAGAAACAGAATTTTATAGATCCAATTGATATCTTTGGGCATCCCTTCCCCTTCAAAGGTGACTTCTGTCTTACCATTTTCAAATGCCATTTGTACCTTATACCATTACTAAGTACATTACATAAACAATACTCATGATTGTTATGTATGTTCTAGAACATATTTAGTGGTATTATTCTTTATATACCCTCTTATCACCGGCTTTTTCACTCCTGTATTACATGTTTGAGGCTAATTTGTGTTGAGTGAATCTCTAGTTCATTTATTTTGATTGATGTAGTACTTTCTTTCGTTCTTATTTTAAGTAGACTCCCCTGCCCAGGGTAAAGCTCAACACAGGGCTTGAACTCACGTCCCTGAGGTCAAGACCTGAGCTGAGATCAAGATTTGGATGCTTAACCGACTGAGCTACTCAGGTACCCCGATATAGAACTTTTTGTTGTGTGACTATCATAATGTATTTACATTTAAGTTCTTTCCTTTTTTTGCAATTACAAGCTGTACTGTTAGGGATGTTCTAGTACATGAAGGAGAATGTCTCTTGAGTCCATTCTCAGGGACAATAATGATGTCTATGGATGACCTGTTTCCCTTAAACACACACACGTCCACACACCATCTCAGAGCACTCACAAGGGAGAGAGGAACAGGGAGAAACACTGCCCAGATCTATCTTGGCACACTGAGCTGAAGGCCATCAGCACGGATGGAACAGAATGTAAAGCACTACTTGTCCCAGAGCAGAGACAAGTATCACATTGTCATGACCCAAGCTCGAACACTGCTTAGCTGTTTATTGGCAAGAAGAACATGTTTATGAACCTGAAGTATCATTAACTCACCATTTTTCTGCACAATGAAATCGCAGACGTCATGGTCCTGGGAGAGGTTTCCAAAAACACGCACAGCCTCTAAGATTCCATCCATGTTATTACTCACAAGAAGCTTTATGAGCACTGGGTTTGGGAACCAGAGACATAAATCACTGAATTTAACTTTTCATTTAAAGGCTATTAGCCATCAGCATCATACTAAATACCGATAACTCAAAATCTTCAAGTGACAATAAAATACAAACTATAAGGGACTTTAGCGAGAACCAAGACCCTAACATTCCCCCACATTCTGAATTCTTAGAAACAGATCAGTTTCTTTGATATTTGTACAAGAAATCAGAAAATAGGAAGGGCACCAGTTCTGTGTTTCATTAAAAAAGTCAAAATCTTAAAAACAACCATGCATCTGCCCGAACCCAATTCTGAACCTTACATTCAGCAATATATAGCTTTTTGTCCTGAATTACAGAATTCTTCACTTGGTAGTAAGATAAGTTGTTGATTGTGGCTGTAGTATTGATCACCAGCTCCTCACAATCCTCAATTGACTTGTATTCTGGAAGAAAGTTAGGAAAAGGGTATGAAAGATTCACTGTAGGGGCAGAAACATGACCTCCTAGCTGCCCCAGCATGCCAGGGTCAAGTTGTTGTCCCAGATGGGGTCTGTGCAGGGGCTTTGCTTACTGCTTTACTTCCCAGGACTCTTCTTGCAGGGAAATGCACCAAACACAGGGGACCACTCCTGACCAGGTTCTAGAACACTCTAAGCTCAATCCCTCCAGTCAGGGCATCTGGAAAAATTAGGCTGACCTAGGCTCTGTGGTTATAGTCAAATGAACGTGCCAACACATGGACAAGCTGAGCTGTGTCTCACCCCCACTGATCTGTGTCTTATCCCCATTGACTTGCACTGTTCTGAGCTTTCCTGGGGGCTCTACCCTGCGAGTCTGTTCCTCACACCTCCACCTCTCAGCAGAATGACCCTTAGGGCATAATCTGTTCATAACTCCTAATCGTCCTGTCCTCCAAACACACAGAATCTGATCGCTTCTCGCCTCCTCTGCTACCACCTAGCCCATCCTTCACCTCTTACCTGGCTTCTCCTCTCCCACTTTCCTGCCTGAGTCTATCCTTATCACGATCCTTTAATAGTCAGCTAACACCACTTGTCCTACCTGAGCCTCAGACCCTACCTGGGCAGCCCCAGTTCCTTTTTTTGTGGGAGGCGCAGCACAGAGGGAGAGGAAGAGAAAGGATCTGGAGCAGGCTCCACGCCCAGAGCGGAGCCCCACGTGGGGCTTGATCTCATGATCCCGAGATCATGACCTGAGCTGAAATCAAGAGTTGGATGCTTAACAGACTGAGCCACCCAGGCGCCCCTAGGCAGCCCTAGTTCTGACATTGGACGCCTCATTTGCTATTCCAACCCTCACCACACTGGTCTTCTTGCCCACCCCCCTCCCTTTTTTAAAAAGATTTTATTTATTTATTTGACATAGATCACAAGTAGGCAGAGAGGCAGGCAGAGAGAGAGGAGGAAGCAGACTCCCTGCTGAGAGCCCGATACGGGGCTCGATCTCAGGACCCTGGGATCATGACATGAGCCGAAGGCAGAGGTTTTAACCCACTGAGCCACCCAGGTGCCCCCTTCTTTTTTTTAAACCTATCAGCATGATCCTGCCTGAACCTATGCACCTCTATTCCTTCTGTCTAGAATATACTGTGTTTCCAGTGCCCACTTGGTTCACTCCCCTCATCCTTCAGGTTGTTGTTTAGATGTCGTCTTATTGAACACAGTTTCCTTAACCTCCCTCTATAAAATGGCATCCATTCATCTTTTTCCCTTACCCTCCTTTTATCTGTTCCATTGCACACATAATCATCTGACCTGTTATGTGTTTAATATTTGTCTTCTAGTCCTAAGATGGAAGCTATGTGAGACCAGGGATTTGTCTGTTTTCTTCATTGTTGCCTTCCCAGCAGCGAGAGCAGACTCTGGCACACAGGAGTGCTCAATAAATAGTCGCTGAATGCAACAACAAGTGAAGGACTGAACCCTTACTCCGCACAGGAGACCCTTGGTCATTCCGTCCCTGCCTTCCACTCAGGCTCCACACTCATCTCCCGGCAGAGGTAGAAATGCCATCGAGGAGTCCTTGTTCCCTCCACCCCCAGACTGATGGCACTAGACCTTGGGCGGTGTTCGGGAATCTGATTTTTTTCTCTTGCCTTGGAAGAATTCATTAGCTTGTCCAAGAAAAGAAAGGGTAGCTCTTCTGTGTTACTGCCTTCTGTATAGGGTCTGGCATCTAGGCAAGAGGGACTTGCTACAAGGTATCCATCACAACAGCACCAAGGGCTGTACGTGCACATAGCACCACAAAAATAATGCTTTACATGCACTTGTAAGCATTTGAGCCCATAATAATTCATACTCCAAAGGTGCATCTGTCTCAGCTCAGCCACCATAACAAAATACCACTGATTTGAAGCTTAATTAACAGAAATTTCTTTTTCTCAGAGTCCTGGAGGTTGGAAGGACACCAATGTGGTTGCCAATGTGGTTGGGTTCCGGTGAGAGCCCTTCCTGGCTTGCAGATGGCCACCGTCTTGCCATACCCTCACGTGGTAGAGAGAAAGCCAGAGCAAGCTCTCTGGCGTCTCTTCTTAGAAGGCTGCTAATCCCACCACAAGCACCCTGGCTTCATGACCTTGTCTACACCTGATTATCTCCCAAAGGTTCCATCTCCAAATACCATCACACTGAGGATTAGGGCTTCAATATTTGGAGCTGGGGAGTGGTGGGTGCAATTCATTCCATATCAACCTCCTAATATGTCCATTTTACATATGAGACCACTGAGGCTGAGAGGTGTTACATACCTTGCTTCACAGAACCCACATCTGAATCTGGGTATGCCTGACTCAATCATGTGTTTTTCCCATTGCCTCTCTTCCTGAGTGCCCAGTAGAGCTGCCTGGGGCCAGCATTTGCTGCCAGAGGGCTTGAGAGAGCCCTGTGTAGCTGGCTCTCGGATGTAGCAAAGTCTAGAATTTGGAGCTGGCCACTAAGGCAGCAAATCTCTAAATATGGGAGCTTGCTGAAAGGGCTGGTCCTTATTAGAAACATTTTTTGTTTTGTTTTGTTTTGATTTTCAAAGACTTCTGCGAAGAGACTGGTGTCTAGAGACAAGTGCTGGGGCTCCAAGTCCTCGACATATCCTGTGTCGGCTTGGAGGCCAGTGCTTGTCATCAGCTTCCTGTCCGCATGCCTGCCATGTCTCCACTGTAGACCCAGAGCTCCTGGAGAGCAGACACTATGTGTTTTTAAGCCTTGCTATGCCCTGAAGTTGGTATTCCTCTCCAAGTACATATGGAGGAGCCCCAGTGTGAAGTCACCCCCAAGGTGGTTGAATCTGGGGCGAGGGCCCGCGAGGAGGTGATGAAGGGTTAAATGAGTCATCAGAATGGGGCCCTCGTCCAATAGGGCTGCTTCCCTTAGAAGAGGAGGAAAGGAGCATCTACAAGCCAGAAAGAGCATCCTTGCCAGATGCCAACCCTGCTGGCACCTTGACCTTGGGCTTCCAGCCTCCAGAACTGTGATGTGAGAAAACATGTCTGTGGTTTAAGCCACCCTGTCTGTGGTGGTCTGTTACACGGGAGCCTGAGCAGACTAAGATAAACCTCCTTTAGCATAGGACTCATTAGGCACTAAGCACTCAATAATGGATCTTAATGAAGAGCAGGGGGCCAAGTCCAAAGGTTACCCCAAAACATCATTTTCATCAGGTATTAATGTTTCTTCTGCAGTGAAAAAAATCCATCAGAGCCTGGTAAGTAGTAGCTAAGTTGATCCCTCTGTGTGGTAGTTAATTTCCCTGCACACCGGTGTGCAGGTGTGACTGTGGGAAACGACAAGGCCTAAAAAGTGGAAGGGTGCTATAGACTGAATTATGTCCTCCCAGTTCTTATGGTGAAGCCCTAACGTAACTGTATTTGGAAATACAAGATTAAATGAAGATTAATGAAGATTAAATGAAGTCATAAGGGTGGAATCCTTATCCAATAAGCCTAGTGGCTTTTATAAGAGGAGGAAGAGGGACATCTGCATGGCTCAGTCGCTTAAGCATCTGCCTTCAGCTTAGATCATGATCTAAGGGTCCTGGGATCAAGCCCAGCATCAGGCTCCCTGCTCAGTGAGGAGCTTGCTTCTCCCTCTGCCTGCCGCTCCCCCTCACCACCGCATGTGCTCTCTGACAAATAAATAAAATAAAAATAAAAATAAAAATAAAAATAAAGGGGTGCCTAGGTGGCTTAGTGGGTTAAAGCCTCTGCCTTCGGCTCAGGTCATGATCCCAGGGTCCTGGGATCGAGCCCCACATCCGGCTCTCTGCTCAGCAGGGAGCCTGCTTCCCTTCCTCTCTCTCTGCCTACCTCTCTGCCTACTTGTGATCTCTGTCAAATAAATAAATAAAATCTTTAAAAAAATAAAATAAAATAAAATAAAAAAGGAAGAGGAAGAGAGAGAGAGAGCACATGTTCTCCGAGGGCACATGCCAGCAGAGGCTGTGTGAGGCCACAGACAGAAGGCAGCCATCCTCAAGCCAGGAAGACAGACTGCACCAGAACCCAGCCATGATGCCCAACCAATCTCAGACTTCCGGTCTCCAGAGTGTGAGGAAATAAATCTGTTGTTGAAGTCACCCAGTCTACACTCTTTTGTTACGGCCATCGTAGCAGACTGGGATGGGGGTTGGTACCACGAAGTGGGCTGCTGCTGTACCAAGTACCTAAAAGCGTGGCAGTGGCTTTGGAGCTGGGGGATAATGGGAGGCTGGAGGAGTCTGAGGTGCATGGTAGAAATGAGAAATGTTAGAGGCAATTCGGGTGAGGGCTCAGAAAGAAAAGAGGAGAGTGGGGGAGAGAGCTTCCGTCTTCTTAGGGACCACAACAGTAATCATGAACAGAATGTTGGTAGACATATGGATATATAAGGTCGTTCTGAGGAAAGGAGGAACAGGTTCCTGGAAACTGTGGGAAAGGTGATGGTTGCTGTAAGGTGGCGAAAAACTGGCTGAACTATGTTTTCGTTCTAGTGTTTTGTGAAAGGTAGAACTTGCAAGCAACGATACTGGATACTGAGCTGAGATCTCAAAGCAAAAGTATTTGAGGAGCAGCTTGGCTTCTCCTGACATTACAGTAAAATGTGAGGAGAGAGAGAGATGAAGAAAGAATTGTTAAGCAAAAAGAAGTAGAACCTGAAGATCTGGAAGATTTTCAGTCTATCCCTATGGCAAAAAGTGTAAAAGCATGTGCTAGAGGGAAACAAATGTGCGTTTGGAATATCAATCAGTACAGAGCTTCTGGGGTTCTGTGGGCAGAAACACTGCCAGTTGGAACAGAAAGGCTCTGAGATAGGAAGGCTATCTTTGCAGGGGACAGGACAGGACGAAGGAGCTATTGGGCTGTGAGTGGGTACTATTCTTCTGGAAGAGTGGAAATGACCCCAAAGGTGAGAGATCACAACCAGGGCCCTTGCCTCGGGTTCAACAGGCCAGACACCCTCACCCTGAAGCCTTGAGAACGAGACCAGCCTGCAGAGCCCCGGTACCTGGACAGACAGATGTGGAAGTCAGACCCCCGCCCCAGGGGTTCTGGAAGGCAGAGCACTGAACCAAAGAGGATGGCTTTCAGGTCTTAAACTACGATGGCATTCACCTGGCTAGTTTGCAGACTTGCCTGGGAACTGCAATCTTTTCCTTTTTCCCTGTTTCTCCCTTTGGAATGGGAATGTTTATCCTAGGCCTGCCCAACCCTGTATTTCGGAAGCATGTAACATGTCTGGTTTCACAGGTTCACAGGAGAGGAATTCTTCCTCAGGATGTACCGTATCTTGAGTCTCACAATATCTGATTTAGATGATATTTAAATGAGATGTTGATCCTTAGATTTTAGAGTTGATGCTGGAATGAATTAAAACTTTTGAAGTTATTGAAATGGAATAAATGTGTCTTGTGTGTGAAAAGGACATGAATTCAGGGGGGGCAGGAGCAGAATATTATTGACTGAATTGTGTCCCCTCCCCCAAATTCATATGTGGAAGCCCTAATCTCCAATGCCATTGCAACTGGGGACAGGGGTTTTAGGAGGTAAAGTGTCTTAATGGTGGAGTCCTTATCTGATGGACCGGATTTGAGGTCTTAGAAGAAGAGAAAGAGAGAGAGATCATCCACTCTCTCCCTGGGGCCACGCTCCGAGGAACCACACGTGATGACCTGGTGAGAAGTCAGCTGTCTACCCAGCTCTCAACCCAGACCCCACCGGCGGGCCCCTCCACCTTGGGTTTCCAGGCTCCAGAATCACAAGAAACAAATTTCTCTGGGTCAAGATACCCAGCCTGTGGTAGTTTGTTATGGAAGAGTGCGGTGGCAAATAATGGGGAGAAATGGGACCAGAGTGACTGGGGGCCATAATTACAGGTACTGTAAAAATCTAAGAAAAAGATACACTCTCATCCCGTGGAGTAACCTAGGAAAAATGAAGGATTTTAAACTATTTGTGCTTAGTTTAGCCAATTTTTGGCAATTTGATTGGTACCTTCTTTTTTAAAATTGTGACAAAATTCACATACCATAAAATAAACCCTTTTCAAGGTGTACACTTCAGTGGATTTTAGTGACATTTTTTTCTTTTCTTTTCGGATATATATATGCATGATAAAATATATTTTTATGTATTTTTAATGTGGAATTTAAATTTTAAATATATATATTTAGAACATATTTAATACATATATATACATACACATACATATATACATATGTGTGTGTGTATGTGTGTGTATATTTATATATATATTTTATATATATTTTATATATGTGTGTGTATATATTATATATATATATTAACCTGGGTTACTTTGGAGGCAGTTCTGAGCAGAAGAGGAATTTTCCCACCTGCAGCTAAGAAGGCTCATTCAAGCGAGCCGGTCGCGCCGCTGAAACCGTCGCCGCGCCCGGGGGTGGGTGGGGGCACGTGACTGCGTCCCCTGCAGGCAGCGGCCAGCGTAGCGGGCCTTACCCAGCGTGGTGAGCAGCAGGCCCACGGCGTGCGGGTTGGCGGCCAGCGCAGGGCCGATGCCAGGGTGGATGGCTAAGTTGGCGAGCACCCGGGTCAGCTTGATGAGCACGTCCTCCGCCTGGGCCCGCGGCCTGGGCGTCTGGGGCTGCTCGGCTCCCGCCATCGGCTTCTCCGCACACAGGTCCAGTTTGTAGAATGCATGGAACAACGCCAGCAGGGTCGGGATGCTCCCCCTCTCTTTGGAAAACTGTTCGCGAGCCTGGTTATTTTTCGCCGTCAGGTTGCCGAGAATAAAGACAATGCGGACGACCAAATCCTGCAGTAGAGAGAAGCCGGTTACAAAGGGCAGGACCGGGGCGCCTGGGTGGCTCAGTCGGTTGGGCAGCTGCCTTCGGCTCAGGTCATGATCTCAGGGTCCTGGAATCGAGCCCCGCATCGGGCTCTCTGCTCGGCGGGGAGCCACTTCCCCTCCCCCTCTGACTGCCTCTCTGCCTGCCTGTGCTCGCTCTCTCTTTCTCTCTTTCAAATAAATAAATTAAAAAAACAAAAACCAAGGGTAGGACCAGTCGTTGGAAAGAGTACAGTATTTAATTTATTCCCGAGTTAATTAATAGTAGGATGGAACACATCTGGCTTCTCCTAACGTGTCTAGTATTTGATTCCCAAGATTGGTGCATATCGACAGGGGAGATTAAAAGCATTTGGCCACAGTGAGAGACTACAAACTGAGGGACGTACTTAGCAGGGGCTATTAACTTCAGATCCTTCATCTGAAATTCTGGCTGGCTTTTTTTTTTTTTTTTTTTTTTTAAATCCCCGAGAGAACAGTTAGTTGAGTGGGATGGGATCACTGATAACACGTTAGGTATAAGTATCGACACTAACAGCTTTCTTGAGCACCTACATCTTTCACTAAGAGGTCACCTCCTAGGGAAGCACTGTGTTTCCAGAAACCAGATGTTTTGCACAGCGGTTCATCAGATTGTGTTGCATCAGGCTTCCCCAACCCAGGCTCCGCAGACTTCGGGGGGCAGGAGAATCTTTGCTGTGGGGGCTGTGTTTAGCAGCCGGCATCCCCGGCCCCTACTAGAGATGCCAGTAGTGCCTCCATTGACATCACAACCAAGAAGGGTTAACCATTGCTTTAAGTAGGCTTCACGCCCAATGCGGGGCTTGAACTCACGACACCAAGATCAAGAACTGCACGCTCTACGAACTGTGCCAGCCAGGCGCCCCCACAACCAAAAAGGTTTAAACGTCCGCTGGGGACAAAGTGACCCTCAGCTGAGAATCACTGTGTCATAAATGTTCCACTTTAAAGCAGTACTTCTCGTCTTTGACCAGGGTAGTGGCGACATGGGTGACGCCTTTATCACAATTTGCTAAATGGTACATGTGTGTTTCATGCACTTTTCTGCAAGTCAGCTATATTTCACAATAAATGTTTCTAAAAATCCCAAGCTGAGAGCAATTTACAACTGAACAGGATACAAAAACAATTATGTTCTTAATTCTACAACAACAGACAGATGACGGAATATAGTTGGCCTTCCCGCTACCCGTGGATGGTGAGGGAATTCCTCTGGGAGGAAGAGATTTTATTTTTTTTGTAAGATTATATTTATTTACTTGAGAGAGAGAGAGAGAGAGTGCACGAGCTAGGGGGAGGGAGAGGATGAGGGAGAAGCAGAAGCCCTACTGAGCAGGGAGCCTGATGTGGGGCTCAGGGCTCGATCCCAGGACCCTGGGATCATAACCTGAACTGAAGGCAGATGCTTAACCAACAGAGCCATGCAGGGACCCCAGGAAGGGACTTTGAAGAGACACTCATGGAGGGGCTCTCACCAATTTGGATGCTATCAGGGTGCCAGGCGCTGTGTAATCTGACAGAAACTGGGGTTTGTAGAAGCTGCCTAGTCACACAGCTAGTGAGGAGTGAGTTAGGATTTGAACCCAGGATTCCCCTGACCTGGAGTCCTTTCTACAGCCAAGCCCTGACTCCCACAGGGCCTATCCTGTAAGGACCTCCTTTGCCTAGTCTTTTGCAGAGCAGTTAAGAAATTATCTCCTTATAAAATGCAAATGTGGGGCGCCTGGGTGGCTCAGTCGTTAAGCCTCTGCCTTCGGCTCAGGTCATGGTCCCAGGGTCCTGGGATTGAGCCCCACATCGAGCCCCACGTCTGGCTCCCCACTCAGTGGGAAGCCTGCTTCTCCTTCTCCCACTCCCCCTGCTTGTGTTCCCTCTCTCACTGTGTCTCAAATACACAAAAAAATCTTAAAAAAAAAAAAAAGCAAATATGTGGGGTGCCTGGGTAGCTTAGCCCCTTAAGATTCCTCTTGCTTTTGGCTTAGGTCATGACCTCAGGGTTGTGAGTTCTAGCCCCAAGCTGGGCTCTGCACTCAGCTTGGAGTCAGCTTGTCCCTCTCCCTCTGCTCCTTCCCCGCTTGTGTGTGCTCTCTGTCTCTCAAATAAGTAAATACAAGTTTTTAAAAAAGTAAAATAAAAATAAAATGCAAATACGTCACCAGGAGAGATTCCCAGTAAACCCAGCTTTGTTTATCAGATCTGTAGTAATTAGCCGCCCAACCACGAGGGACAAAGTGCAGAGGCCTAGACCTGTTTTAATCAGGGAGCCAGGTCTAGGTGGGACCTGAGGGTTGGGGGGTGGGCAGCGCAGGGACCACGTGTGGCAGAGAGCGGAGGGTCACAGACAAAGGACAAGACTTCTGGAATTGCCTGGGGTGACTTGGCCAACACCAACTTGTTCCTGCTTGTTCTTGAAAGAAAGGTTTTCCCTGGCACTGGCCAAGGAGAGGCGAGGCCGCGGCTTGTGCAGCTGGGAACCATTTGTCAACATGAGGAAAGTCGAAGGCTAACACGCCAGCAAGAACTGGAGCTGGTCCAGGAGACTTCACACTGGGAAAAACCTCTGCTCGGCAGGCAACCTACAGCAGCCAGTGATCCGGTGGGGAGAACCTGCTTCTGGGCCACCAGGACCCAAATGCCAGTCCCTAGATACCGCTCCATGCTGAGGGCCTGGGAGGATACACTCCCAGGAAAAAAATGGGACAAGGGGCTCTGAAGAGGTTCTAATCCATTTGCGAGGATGAGGCTAACAACTATGGGTAAGGTTGAATTCAGATCCGTTGGAGGTAATTTCAAAATACGGCTCTCTGGAGGGGAGGCTGGGGCAGTTTGGCCAGTGGAAAGGAGCGGGTCTTGAGAAAGGACCTGGGACAGTCCCCTCCCTGGGAACTGGGGTCCCTTTGTCGGTCTCTGATCACCAGATGGTTCCCTGAAAAATCTGAAGTCTGTGGGTCCTACATCTCACACAAGCACACACAGTTCCGTTGCAACATCCGTCTCCGCACATACAACCAGTGGCTACTGCACATCGTTCCTAGGAGCAGAGGCTCCTCCCTGGGTTCTGGAAGGAAAGCGCCCCTGCGCCCTGGCCACACCCAGTGGAAAAGCAGGACATTTTCCCAACAGGACAGAGGGTATTTCTGAGAATTAGGTTCCTCCAGGCTATTCCGTTTTATGCTTCCTAAGCTGAGGAAGAGGAGCTTTTCGCATCAACTTTGAGGTACGGTTTCTGAGTGAAGACCCGCCATGTGAGTTCTGCCTCCGAAAACTTAACAGTAGTCAGCTGTCATGGTGGTAACAGCGGCAGTAGTGAACCCAGGGCGTGTGTGATGGGCCGGGCACTGTTCCAAGCATTCAGATATACAAATTAGTTCATTAACAGTGATAGCTTGTAGCCCTTTCCTCTGAACAGTGCTGTTCCCACGCTCCGCAGTCCAGGTAGTCCCTCCTGCACACACCCCAGGACAGCCCTGTTGACGTTTCCGGACCTCACGCTGGGTCCCAGGTTGCAGCCCTCTCCCATCTCCTCAGAAGCATGGTAAGCAAAACAGGAAAGGCCTTCTATGTGATTTTCAATGACTTCTTAAAAAAAAATGGAAAAAGGAGTGGTATTCTTTCTGCTAAGTCACATCAGGCTACTCAGTTTAGCCTGTTAAATGTCACAGCTGCCTTTGGAAGGATGCCGGATTATTTCTTCTCTCCCCGCCCCACCCCCTTCCCAGGACTTGCTTCTTCACCTTTGCCTTCCTGTGTGTGTTTTCCTCCTTCGTAGACCGTAGCAGGTGTCTCTGGCCTGTGCCATCTCTACCCGTCCTTGCTGACTTGTCAGGAGTGTTTGGCCCAGATCATCCCAGGCCGGAGAAAAAGGCAGCTTTCCTTAGAGATCACTGTCCTTCCAAATTCAGGTGACCTCCAGCCCCTGCCGCGTGCGGTCCAATCTGGAGGCAACAAAGTGCTGCTTTTCTTCTTCGGAAAAATTCCCTCGGCCCCTTTGACTTCTAAAATTCTTCGATTCTAATATCTGTGTGGATCCTAACATGGCACAGATTACCAACCTCCCAACCCCCCACTTGGGGCAGGGGGGCTGGGGAAGGAGAAACTCTAGACTTCGGGGCAGGAAGAGTTAACTCTGCCACAATGCCTCTTTCCCTGCCTTCGGATGGAGAAAGGAGGGGGTGGTTCCTGGCAGCCATGGTGCCAACTGAAGGATGGCATGCGAGATCAACAAACGGGGATGGCAGATTGCGCGGCTTGCGGCACCAAGCTTCCAGCAACTGCTATGCTCACTGGGTCTGTCCTCTTCCTCGGGGTTGGCTCAGGCAGCTTTTCAGTCCCCCTCCACCACCTTTCTCGACTCTATTCTCTACAGATCTAGGGAACATGGACGAGTCCGAAATAGAAGCCGTCTCCCAGGAGGCTGGCAGAGGTGGTGCTTGTCTTGACTCATCTGGAATCCCTGAGAGGCCCCAGGGGGCCGAGGCCAGCCCTGGGTGGTCGGCCCTGTGCAGAGGACTGCCTTGGACTGCAGCACAGAGAGGTTGTTTATTGTCCCACAGCCCAATCCTTCTTGACTCCACTGAGTACCCTTTGATTAAATATTCTATAAAGATTTGAAGAATTAGACAAAGGCCCAAAGTATCCATGTGTGGAGACCACGGCTTGAATCCACAGCAGAAAATCGTTTCAGCAGTAGACAGGTCTCCTTCGAGGTACAGATTTGCTCCTTTATTCTCAGACGGTCTCGGAGAGCCCCCTACAAATCAACCCTGAACTTCTGGAACATTTTTAATAAATTTAATACCAGGTTGCAGATTTATACCCCCAGCCATGAATTTTGAAACAGCAAAGAGATAAAATTTTGCTCAAAGAAAGCAGTCTAGTATCACCAGTTCATACGGACTTTCTCATTGTGCATAAAAATGGACTCGGCCCAGCCACAGCGGGGGCCA